GTGCCGATAGTGCGTGAGTTCCCGGACGTTTTCCCCGAGGAGTTGCCGGGTGTGCCTCCCGAGAGGCAGGTGGAGTTTCGCATCGATTTGGTTCCGGGAGCAGCGCCTATCGCCAAGGCGCCCTATCGCCCTGCGCCACCTGAGATGCAGGAGTTATCCTCACAGCTTCAGGAGTTGTTGGGGAAGGGATTTATCAGACCGAGTAGCTCGCCGTGGGGAGCGCCGATCCTTTTTGTCAAGAAAAGTGATGGTTCACACCGGATGTGCATTGATTACCGGGAGTTGAACAAGTTAAAGGTCAAGAACCGTTACCCACTGCCGAGGATTGATGATCTGTTTGATCAGTTGCAGGGAGCATCTTGGTTCTCCAAGATTGATCTGAGGTCTGGATATCATCAGATGAGAGTGCGTGATGAGGATATCCAGAGGACGGCGTTCAGGACTCGTTACGGGCATTACGAGTTCGTGGTGATGCCTTTCGGGCTCACCAATGTACCGGCAGCATTCATGGATCTCATGAACAGGGTGTGTAGGCCGATGTTGGATCGATCGGTGATCGTGTTCATCGATGACATATTGGTGTATTCGAGGTCCAGAGAGCAGCATGAGGAGCATTTGAGGGAGATCCTCGGAGTTCTGAGATTGGAGAGGCTTTACGCCAAATTCTCCAAGTGTGATTTCTGGTTACGATAGGTCCAGTTCCTGGGACATCTCGTTAATCAGAATGGGATATTGGTCAATCCGGCTAAGATTGAGGTGGTGATGAGTTAGGAGGTGCCGAGATCCCCCATCGAGATCAGGAGTTTTCTGGGGTTGGCCGGCTATTATAGGAGATTTATTAAAGATTTCTCCAAGATCGTCGTGCCTCTCACCAGGTTGACCCGGAAGGGCGTTACTTTTTCGTGGGGTCCTGAGCAACAGGCCTCCTTTGAGACTCTTCGCCAGAGGTTGTGCGAAGCCCCGGTGTTATCCCTTCCAGAAGGAATGGAGGATTTTGTGGTGTACTGCGACACATCGATATCAGGGTTGGGTGCGGTGCTCATGCAGAGAGGGCATGTGATAGCGTATGCATCGAGGCAGCTGAAGCCTCATGAGACGAGGTATCCCACCCACAATCTGGAGTTGGGGGCAGTGGTGTTCGCCCTCAAGATCTGGCGCCAATACCTGTACGGGGTTCGGTGTACCATATACACGGACCACAGGAGTTTGAAGTATCTAATGGATCAGCCCAACCTGAATATGCGCCAGAGGAGATGGTTGGATGTGGTAAAGGATTACGATTGTGAGATCCTGTACCACCCGGGCAAAGCTAATGTTGTAGCTGATGCGCTGAGTCGTAGGGCGGAGAGTGCCCCGATTCGAGACACTTGTATGCGATTGACAGTGATGACTCCGGTGTTGGACACCATTCGGGAGGCCCAAGCAGAGGCCTTGAGACCGGAGAACCGCAAGAGAGAGCGGGTGATTGGGCAGGTATCTGAGTTTGTTACCGATAGTCGTGGGCTGATGACCTTTCAGGGTCTGATTTGGGTGCCGTATGCAGGCGGGACGCACGCCACTTTGATGGAGGAGGCGCACCGGTCGAGGTTCTCGATCCATCCCGGGGCCACTAATATGTATTTGGACCTGAAGAGGAACTATTGGTGGCCCTGTATGAAGAGGGATGTAGCGTGGTTTGTTGAGAGGTGCTTGACCTGTCGCAGGGTTAAGGCCGAGCACCAGCGTCCGCATGGAAAGTTGCAGCCACTTGAGGTTCCCCAATGGAAGTGGGAACAGATTTCTATGGATTTTATCACCAAATTGCCGAGGACCGCACGGGGTCTCGATGCAATTTGGGTGATCGTCGACCGGCTGACGAAGAGCGCGTATTTCCTTGCTGTCAGTGAGAGCACTTCTGCCGAGAGGCTGGCAGAGTTGTATGTGAGGGAGGTGGTATTGCGGCATGGTGTGCCGATCTCGATTGTGTTGGATCGAGATGTACGTTTCACTTCCAGGTTCTGGAAGAAGTTCCACGAGGAGTTGGGTACGAGGTTGCATTTCAGTACCGCCTACCACCCCCAGACGGACGGAAAGAGTGAGCGGACGATGCAGATGCTCGAGGACATGCTTCGAGCATGTGTGTTGGACTGCGGAGGGAGTTGGGACATATACCTACCATTGGCTGAGTTTTCCTATAACAACAGCCACCATTCGAGCATTGGTATGCCTCCCTTCGAGTTGTTGTATGGGAGGAGGTGTCGGACTCCCATTTGCTGGGGAGAGGTAGGGCAGCGTGTGATGGGTAGCACTGAGATAGTGCTTCAGAAGACAGAGCAGATACAGCAGGTTAGACAGAGGTTATTGACAGCTCAGAGTCGCCAGAAGAGTTATGCGGATAGGCGACGATCCGAGCTTCAGTTCCAGGTGGGAGATTTCGTACTCCTGAAGGTATCTCCTTGGAAATGAGTGATCCGATTCAGGAAGAGGGGCAAGTTAGGGCCCCGGTACATCGGTTCGTTCAGGGTGACTGCGAGGGTAGGCAGAGTAGCATATCGATTGGAGCTACCTGCGGAGTTGAGCCAGATTCATGATACCTTCCACGTATCTCAGTTGAGGAAGTGCATAGCCGACGAGTCGGTGGTGGTACCACTGGAGGATATTCAGGTGGATGCGAGCCTGAATTATGCTGAGAGGCCAATCGCGATCCGGGATCGGAAGATCAAGGTTCTGAGGAACAAGGACGTGTCCCTGGTGCAGGTCCAGTGGCAACATCAGAGGGGGTCCGAGCTGACTTGGGAGCCGGAGTTAGAGATGCGTGAGCAGCATCCAGAGTTGTTTGTGGAGCAAGACTTCGAGGACGAAGTCTGATTCTAGCGGGGGAGAATTGTAACATCTGGAATTACAGGTATTATATTTTATCATTTATTTTTCAAAAAAGAGAGGGACTCGACGAGTCGAGTCGTAGACTCGTCGAGTAGGACCGCAAATGCTGACTGGATTTAATGAATGAACTCGGCGAGTCGATGCGTGGACTCGGCGAGTCCGCGCTGTTAAATGAAACCCTAAATCTCAGGGCCTGAGCCCTATTTAACGGCCTTTATGGCCTCCATTTGCGGCTACCTGTCCAGAGAGAGTACCCCTTGAGAGCTTGAGCGAGTTGAGTGAGAGAGAGATAAAGCCATATTGATCGATTTTGGTGTAACTTAGCAAAGGAGAAGTTGTTTCCAGCAAGAGGAGGTCAAGGGAGCTGTGGATCCAGGGTTTTCAAGTACAGATCTACGCTGTTGAGGTATCTAATCGAACTCCTTTTCTGTTTTGGGTTAAGATCTATGATCTAGGGCTTCCTTTGCACCATTTTGAGTTAGATTGTGAAACATAGGGGTCCCTTGAGTATAGATGATAGATCTGGACCTTGAGAGGTCCAAAAGGTCCCAAGCTTCCAGCTTTATGAGGTTTCATGTGAGCCTTGAGAGTAAAATCACATTTAAAAGGTTATTCCTCCATTTTTGGCCTTGTAGTATTGCATGAACGTAAAGTTTGAACCTTTACGTGACTTTCGAGTGTTAGAAGGATGGATCTACTGTTTGGTGAAGCAGATCTGACCTCAAGAGATCTTTTGAGAGTTTTCATGGGAGGAACTCGTCGAGCCCATAAGGGACTCGACGAGTCGAGTCGGGTGGCCCCGCGACTCGCGACCTGTGGCGACCCATGGAGTATAGGGTTGACTCAGCGAGTCAAGTGAGGTCAGGGGCGAGGAGGACAGGCATGTACTCGCCGAGTTACTCTAGTGCACTCGGCGAGTCCGGTCAATGTTGACCGTTGACTTTCGTTGACTTTTAGGGTTAGTCAGTGTCTGGACTTATGAGCCATTAGAGGGGCAGAATGGTCTTTTACCCTTCTTAGAGAACTTATAGAGAGGGGTTGGCCTAGCCTTTAGAAGTTGTATTAATTAGAGTAATTATTTATGTGATTAGGCGAAGGCTAGTGCAGTATTTCAGAGTTCGAGGTTACCGAGTTACCCGAGGTGAGTTTTCTCATTATACTTTACCTAGAGTGGTAATTAGAGTATGTGGCAGAGTATCTTGTGTGCTATTTATGTGATTGTGATACACTGCATTATATTTATGTGACTTATGCCGTGCATGTTCTAGAGTTACAGAGTTAGAACCGGAGGGTTCACAGAGTTAGGACCAGAGGCTCCACAGAGTTAGGATCGGAAGGTCCACAGAGTTAGGACCGGAGGGTCCACAGAGTTACAGCCTCGAGTGGCTAATATGTGTTATGTGTGGTATTTTGGGGAACTCGCTAAGCCTTTATGCTTACAGTTGTTGTGTTATGTGTTTCAGGTACTAGCGAGGATCGCGGGAAGGCGCCGACATGATCCATACACACTGAGAGGATTTATGTATTTGAGGATCTTGAGATTTGTTTATTGGGAAACATGTGATACTTTGGATTACTATGATATTTTATGAATGAAAGTATGTTTTTAAAATGAAAAATTGTTTTGAAAATTTACGTTGTTACATCTGATATGAATTGATCAAACAAGTTCTAACGCCTTCGAGCTTATGAGAGGTATTGAACTTTACTGGGAATTACAATGTGTCTAATGCGACTTTTCTTTGTTAATCAAGAGCTTGTTTAGTTAATTCAGTAAAAAGTCAGGTTTAATTTAAAGAACTTATTTTGATTAAACGATTTTTGTAACAAAGGTCATTAGAGCTTGTTAATGAACTTTAGTACCAGTTTTTAAACAAGTGCATAGTCAATATTGTGTTGAAGATTAATATATGATTGGGGTGTCACCGCGAAACTAAAATTGCTTTCTCTCATTTGAATTTTCATCACTTTAAATTTAGTCATTTTCTTGTCATTTTCAATCTCTGCTAGTTTAATTTTCAAGAACAAAAACCCCTTTTTTTATGTTTATTACATTCACCAAGAATCAGTTCACACCTTACGCAAAGAGGTGTAAATATTAGGACGTGTCCCTGAGGATTCGACCCTGCTTACCTGTACTACCTGTTAGTGCAATAAAGCAGTTTATCTTATACTTTTATTTGTTTAAATCGTGTACGACATCGGTTTTAACAAATTACATCCCAACAAAGAAACAAACCAAACAAACCAGCATAAACTTGATAATTCCAACTTGACAACCTTCAACTCGATGACCATTACCATGTTCATGAATATCTTGAAACTTAACTTGAAGAGGGGCTTCATTGACATGAAAATTGACAGGAGCATCGCGGGACCATCTAAAATAAGATGTTCACCATTGACTTGAGCTCTCAATTCATACATCTTCTCTCTATACCACTTCTTTGGGAGTTGTGGGTCAATCCAACAAAAAAATATGCAATTTATGTCTTCATCATTGTAGTTTGTGCAACCAATGAACCCCCGATCAGGATTCTTTCGTGTCCTTGCCGTCCACATTCCAACTGGATCTCCACATCCACAGTGTCTCACATTACTGCTTGAAGACGACGACATCGAGTCACCATAATTTCTCTTCTTTTGCTTATGGGTTTGCGAATACGCGTGTTGGAAGATCTGCTTTATGCAAATAAATTCCAAAATATGGCATTATAACGAAAAATATTTTACAAAAATTTAATTCCTAACAACTTAGCTAGGTTTTTTTTAAATAAAATTACGTAGCACAATTCCGTCTGTAATAGCTATGAATTATACTTCCATAGCAAAACAACTATAAAATTTTATTACGTTGAAAAATTTCGTTGCAGATTAACCATGATATTTAATTTCATAACAGAATTACAACAGAAACTATTTTCGTAAAAAAGTTCGTTGCAACTTTGCAACGAATGGTTTTTCCATAGAAATATCGGTAGCAATATACCAACGTATTTCGACTCGGTAGCAGATTCCCTAACAATTCTCACGTGCGCTATCGAAAATTAATTTCGTAGAAAATGAGGTAGCAAATTAACTATGGAACGTCGTTCCATTGCACGATCCGTTGCAGAATAACTACAAAAATATGTTCCATAGCAATCTTCCATAAAAATATATGGTTTTTCTTGTAGTGTCCATTATTCTCACAATAAATCTACTTTCTCATTTGAACCAATATATATATATATATATATATATATATATAGCTATTATATATATATATATATATATATTATATATTAATCTGTATTAATTATTGCAGTTTTTAAAATAAAATTAACGTTACTCACAAGTTGTTACAAATTTACTGATTTACTTTTCATTAAAAAATACAAGTAAAACAAAAGAGATACAACCACTTTTTTGGTGTCTACAAAAAGACTAGAATTAAAGGCCAACTTTACGGGAGCAGGTTGCTTAAAGACGAGAAAGGCTTGCAACCCCACCGCCCACCCACGCATGTAAATATATCATCAAAAATTCTGGTCTTCTCTACTTTTTGGAGCTTATCACTACTACTTTCTCTTTATACTCATTCTAAGTTTCTAACATGCCCTAATTGATAATTGGTTGTTGTTCCGTATAAGGTTGATACACACAAATATGTGAAATGTTTGAATAAGACTCTCAACTATATATTATTAAAAATAATAATCACTGTTCATACAAAATTTACTAAAAATATAATATCTCAATATATAAAATATTTTAAATACTTAAATACTTAAATAAAAAGTATATAAACAATGATATTGATTCTTAAATATTGATATAAATAATAAAAAGTCTTAACAAATTTTAAATTTTAGAAATAATTGTGTGATATAATAAAATAAATTAAGTGAAGTTATTTAATAAGAATCGTAAGACGAACAAGGATTTAGCATGGGAAGATTTTGAAAAGCTACATTTAAATTAAACTTATGGTTATTAGCTTTTGTTTTATTTTAATATTGCAGTTATTGATATAATTGTTGTTTTCTTTTATTTTTGTTTATTTTTGTAAACCAAAAGATTAAGGTATTTAATATTATTTGTCATTTTATTATTGTTTTTCTATGGTTTGGGATAAATTCCATACTTAGTCCCTAACCTTTTTTATTAACTTGGACGCCCATATAATATGTTTTTGTTGTGTTGTTGATATAAGCGATGTACAAAAATCTATTATACCTTTATGTATTTCTTTTTTTATTTTCAATTATATATTTATCATTTCAAATTATTAAAAAAACAAAAAAAAACACACCCACATAATATTCTCCAAACCCCACAAACTTTAAATGAAAATAAGAAACACATACACTGTCACAAATAAATCTCTTTCTTTTAATCATCAGATTTTAAGAACCTAAACTTGGACCACATCATCGATGAACCTCCTCCCCTTTTGCTACCACATCGTTGCCAGTGATTATGTTCACAACCGTGGTCTTTCTCGCTTTCTTGCTCTTATTTATTCTCAGAACCCCAAAGAACACTAGATCAGTGGAACACCACCACTGGCAGCACCATCATCATCGTCGATCGTTCCAACGACATTTGTAGCCCGCCATCATCTCCTGTGTTCTCCCCAAACCACACCTTCTGCCTCCAATACTATCTTCCCAAAAATCATCTGCTTTAAAAAATCTATTTAGGTCGATGGTGATGAGGGAAGAGGGAGGAGATGTAATCGACAGTGAAGATGAAGATGATCCAGGTGAAACATTCCAAAAATCCCAAGAAAAAAAATCTAAATTTTAAAGTAAATAAAACCATTCCATAAACATTACAAGTCAAATAATCTAAAACATAAGTATTTTGTTTTTATAAAATATTAGAGTAATCCCAAAATCTCATAGTGCGAAAATCATCGGTGGATGCGACATAATCAGACTCGCTCCTTTCCATTGTTACTTACTAGAAACATTTAAAACTTAAACTGTGAGCACAAAGTTTAGTGAGTTCCCCAAAATAACACATATCATACATAACCATATACATTACAATACGACTTATTTAAGGAAACATGCATATTTAATAGTCTTGCAATCACTCCTGCAATAGCCTATTTCAGCCAACAGACCTATTTCACCCCAAGTGATGTTATGATCCAAATCGTAGTCTTACAATACATATGCAATTGCCATCGGCTCTCCTATGGTCTTTCATTCAACATAACAGCAAGAGTAAAAAAGACAACAAACACATACGACACCTAGTTTCCTACATAGTATAGTGAGAAGACTCGTCTCGCAAATGTAGTCGAATGTACCAAAGGTCGTACAATTGCAAGAACAGTGCTACACCGAATGAAACACACAAGGTCAGACCTTAGTCTACAATCTGAAACTAACAAATTGACCAAAAGTCAACTTAGTCAAAAGTCAACGGTCAAAACCAACATTCCACTAGACTGTTTAGAATAGTCCGTGGTCGTCATCTATACTCCGCTAGATGACTAAATCAGCTTAAAACATCGAGACCTCTCATCATTTATTTCATCATCTATATCATTCTACCCATTTTACCCATATATATATATATGGTATAAAATACATATATAGTTTAAATCGAATAAAACATGTATATTTTGTTCATCCAACATAGATATCAAGAACACAGATAATATGTACACATAGCATGTAATTTATATTAAATACTTCATATCTATGTGTAATATGAAAGTAATTATGCACTCACTTGTTAAAGTGATGAGTCGAAATTCGAGCAGCGCTTTGCTTCTAACAATTTTCTTTTCTTTCGATGAAACCTAGTATTATCATTACTAGATTTTAGTCCAATATTTATTGCGACTAATTATTAGTCTAGATTCATCATTAACTCAAAGTCCACTTTCATGATCAATCAAGTAAGGATCAGCCAGGCAGGATAGTTGGGAGGCAGGACCATTTCGACATATAGCTTTTCTGAAATCCGACAACCAAACCCAACGTGACCATTCTAGACACCTATCTCGTAAGTAGTTCAATCAGTATAACGATTTTGAATCACTGATAAATCTTGTTTATTGGTTCATAATAACGATAATGAACTTAAACATAAGTTATACTTAAAGTAGGGTAAGCATAATACAAGAGGGTTTAGCTAGGAGTCGGGCTCTGTAGGGGCAGAACTTCTGAACTAAAAGCTCTTCTTCTCGGAGCCTTCTGGCGCTCCGAGCTTTGCCTCTAACACTTGGGAAGTGCTAGGGAAAAATTCAGAAGTGTATGGGTGTTTGGGAGAGAAGGTTTGAGAAAGTTGTGAGAAAATGAGGTGATTTACGCCTCTATTTATAGGCTGGAATCGGAGAGTACGAGGGGCGTAATTAATCTGTACGTTGGGCGTACACTATAACACCCCAAAATGTAGGTATATCTCTCCAATCCTTCTTCTTTCCCAAGTAGTCAAGACTAGCCCATGGAATGAATTTGTAGCAAATGAGTACACTGGGCGTACTGAGGAGTACGCTGCACGTACTCATGAGCGTGCTCTTGACGTGGATGTTACCCAGTACACTGGGCGTACCATAGTGTACGCTGGGCGTACTGGGCTCAGTCATGAAACCCTAAATGAGACTTGTGCACTATAAAAAGAATGCTATGGCCTCCATCCCAGCCACCATTTCCAGTGAGTGAAATCCTAAAGGAGTTAAGCTTTCGTTTTAGAGCTTGTGAGTGTGTGTTTGAGCTTGATAAAGTGTTCTTGTGAGATTTTGAAGAGAAGAAGGGCCATTGTAGAAGCTAGAGTTGAAGTGCAAGCCTTGGATCTGAACTTTTCAGAGGTTGGAGCTTCACTTGGAGGTAAAAAGCTCAAAGCTTTCCTTGTCATTCTTGATTTGTGCTTTTTGGACCAATTTTTAGGGTTTTTGGTCCCAAGGTGGAGACTTTATGAGCAAATGGTCTCCATAAGCTTAGATCTGCCCTATTTTAGCGTAATATGTGTTGTAGGTTCATAAAAATCCAATCTTGGACGTTGAGATTAAGTCATGCATGAGATTAGGGCTTAATTGGGAAAGAGGATATATGTTTGAAGTGATTGGTGACCTTTACAACCATGCAAAGGCTTAAAGGTTTCGACTTTACGACTTAAGAGACAGTAGGGAGCTTAGATCTGAGATATGAGCCTAGGTCTTAATCTATTCAGACCAAAA